AGTTGGCGAAGGAGACTCCAGCCCCCCTGACGGGGAGGCCGTTCACCGCGCGCAACAGGTGACTGGTGAACTGCTGTGGTTGTCTCAACGTACTCGCCCGGACCTGGCGTTCACTGCCAGCTTGCTTGCTAGTTTGTCTACGAAGGCGCCTTGTCGTGCTCTACGCATTGCTGACCGTGCCTTGGCTTACTTGCAGCGAACCAAGACAGCGTCGCTGGTGTTTGAGGCGGACGGAACCCAACTTCACGGTTGGAGTGACGCAAGCTTCGCGCCAGAAGGCCTTCGCTCACATGGAGGCTGGTGCGTGTGTGTGCATGGATGTCCAGTTGCTTGGAGGTCGGCGCGTCAAGCTTTTGTGACACTTTCTACTGCTGAAAGTGAACTCACTGCTTCGATTGAGTGTGCAATCGCGCTTGAATCAATTGAGGCGTTGCTTCACACGGTTGGTTTTGACGTTGCGGAAGAAAGGGTTTTGCACGTTGATTCCCAAGCGTCACTTGCGATTTCTGACGGTCATGGATCATGGAGAACGCGACACCTACGGGTAAGAGCTGAGTACCTTCGTGAGCAGACTCGCTCTGGGAAGCTGAGGCTTGCCTTCTGCCCGGGTGTGGAACAGCTTGCAGATCTACTGACCAAACCTCTTCCGTCTGCAAGGATTGAAGAGCTTGTCAGGTTATGGGGCATGCGTGACTTTGCGGGTGATACAGCCGACCGAGAGGTCAGGCCGAGCTCGTCAGCAGCTGTCGACCCAGTCGCGTTGAGTGCCTTGTTGTGTTTGCTTCAAATCCAACCTGCACGAAGCTCAAGCCGTGAATCCGAGTATCCTGGCTTGCAGCTTGATGGATCCCTGGAGCTGTACTTCGTTCTTGGCATGGCATTGGTTTGTGTCCTTGTTGTGTGGGAGTGGTTGAAGAGATTGTGGGATCGGCTTGATGCGTGGTGGGCTGGTTCGCATGCGTCGTCTCGTCGAGCCCGTCGTTTGAGGCGTATGCAGAGAGCTGTTGAGGATGAGCTTGCTGCCCAACTGCAGGGCATGAGTCTTGAGGACGTGTCTTCCAGACCACCAGCAGGTGAGTCCACAGCTCACAACGAGAGGGCACCTGTGCCTTCGCAGTCCTCCCACGAGTTGCCTGCTGCACCACGGCCCAAGGCCACACAGTCTCGTCGCCGCCCTGCAGTGCGTGAGCAGTCTACTCAAACGGATCGTGAGCCTGCTTTCCAACCAGTCACAGGAGTCCCACCAGATCCGATGCCTGCCAGGATCGAAATCCGCACGCAGTATGAACTTCCCCAAGGTCCCTTTTACTTCACTGCGCACGGGGATTGTGTTCATCTAGATTCTAATTGTTGGGGTTTAAGGCGTAATACACCCTTAACTACCCGCAACTTGTGCCGTGTTTGCAGAGACCGCCACCGCACAGGTCTCTAAAGGCAAGCCAAGGTTCAAGGCTAGAGGTCCCAGGAACGGGCATGCTGTAAATAGTGCAGCGTGTGCTAGTTGCCTGTCGGCTCTAGCAAGGAGGAGTGTTGAAATGCTTCTCACTGCATGCCCAGGTATCAGGTTAGACAGGTGTGTAGTCTGCTTGAAGGGATTGCCGGCACTTGTATAGTTTCCTTCAGGTAGGCTTGTACATGTGTGTTTCCTGTATCCTTTGGCTTAGGGGAAGGCTGCGTAGGAAAGCCTCTTGAGCCATGTGTACTGTAACCAACAACTTGTAAAGCTGTACAGGTCGTTTGTTGGTTTGTCGGTTCTCTTGTTGCTTCGTTGAGATCGTGAGTCGCCTCTGCGCCCAGCCATAGAAAACATTCTGCGTGAGCTTCGCTGCAGGGTATGGCCACCCAGGGTGAACACCTTCAACATGTATCCTTACCTTTGCCTTTTGCCTTTGCGCCTTTGAAGGAGCTTCCTTTATCTCCTTTGTCCTTTCCTTTTCCTTTGCCTTTTCCACCTTTTCCTTTTTCCTTTCCTTTACCTTTACCGAAATAGCTGGAATCAGTTGGATCATGTTCTGCCTGGTTGGCTCTCCCTTTTCCGCGGTATGACCTAAAACGGCCACGTCCTTTTCGCTTGCCACCCTTTGCTCTTCCCGGTGATCCGGGACGCATTCTTGGTCTTCTTCCCTTTTTGAATCTCCTTGCAACGAAGGCCTCATGGTCATCAACTGTCCAGAAGACAGCTTCTTCATCCTCGGCGGCAAGAAAGCCTTCCTCAAGGGTGTCTTCGTCTTGGAGCCAGAATCCATCGACTCCGTCGTATTCACCCTGATCGAGGATGAGGAAGTTTCGACCTCCGCGTTTGCGGCGTTGGTCTCTCCTTCCATGGCGGTCCTTCTTGTGAGAAGAGTGCCGAATGTTGGGATCCTGCAGACCAGTTCTGGTCGTTGAGAACTGATCGAACATGGTCTGCCGTACCACAGGGTACGTGTAGGTCTCAATTCGGTGACCTTGGTTGGTCAATGCTGTTACCAACCTCTCACGTTGCATCTCATTTAGGTCGGACTGCACTAGGAAGAGGAGAGCTAGGAGATTATCGTTCAGAGGAAACGCTCTTCGATGATTGTCAAGGCGTTCCTTGTTCCATGTTTCGAAATAGCGTGCGGCATATGTGTCTCTGTCGGCTGCATCCTGCATGCGCAAGAAGGTTTGGTCTGCCTGCACAGCTTGCATGAAATCTGGATGGGCATCCTCCAGAGCTATCTCTGGTAAGAGATCCATCCATGAGTTTTTCACGCGCTGTAGCACGATCTCAAACTTGGCAATCCAAGTCACAAAGTCTTGGTTGCCCTTCCATGCCTTGAATAGGCCGAGGAAACGCCACAGGAAAACGTACTGTTCTCCTTTCACGAAAAATGGACGCATCTTCTTCTTGAAGTAATCTACTCCATCTGGGGCTGCAAGCCTTTCTCGGTTCAGTGATTCCTTTTGTACTGCGGCCAATCCGGAGAGCCTCGTCTTGAGAGACGGACCTCTTTTGGTGTCATCCAGCGTTGTTATGTCGCACCAGTCGTCAATCAACTGTTCATACTCAAACCACGAGGTGGTGCCATCATAGGCAGGCGCGATCTTGGGCGTTATGCCTAATGATGCAAGCATGCGGTCAGATGTTGCATATGACTGTGCGACATAAGTGGCTGGACCTTGGGAGGTCTCTTCGTTCTCATATCCCCCGGAGGATTGGGAACTGTCGTCGGCTTCGCTATGCGAGCTCGACATTGTGCTGCCTCTTATCCGCTTGGTTAAGCGTTCGGCGAGGCCGACCGCTGTAGCGGACTTTGGGAGGCGGGCGGCCCTTTCCGGGCTCCGCTACCAGAAAACTGAGCCGATACACCCACAAGGAAATGCTCCTTGTTAGGAGGTGTATGACCAGTTTATTCCCTAAGGATCAAAGGGCAGCGCCCTGCACACGGACAGTAGTTGTTTTGTCTTGCTACGCAAGGAGAGCTTGTCTTGTCTCAATATGGTAAAACCACTGTGAGCCAATGGGCAGCGGAATGTATATGTATGAGCATGCAGCCATTGCTGTAGGTACCTGTTAGAGCTACCCCTTTAGAGGTTTACGCAAACAGGGGGGTGGGGGGAGCTGGAGTGTGCGCAAAGGGGTCGGGGCTGTTGGAGCTGCCACGGTGCTGGCGGCCAGGGCTCGCACACAAGCCCTTCGCAAGCAAGCCGCAAACCCTATGACGCAGTGCGTGCCCCTTTTTTGAGCAACTTAACTTGTATTTAAAACGCAACACCCAACCCTAAACCCCACCTAACTGCAGGCTCTAAGCTCTAAGCCTAAAGCAGAGCATACACCGCAAATCCTCCCTAAGCCCTTGTCGACTCGAAGCCTTATACCGCAGCCCCCCCCCCTCCCCCCCCCAAAGGTCAATGGTCCGGATATAGGGTGGGGCCCCCCCATCCCCTGTGGTGTGGGGTGTGGGGTTCCTCTTCCCCCTGTGGGGTGGTTGTGGGGTTTTTGGGGTTTAGGGTTTAGCTCAAGCTTTTGAGTTTTGGGTTTACGGCTACAAGGTATAAGGCTTCGAGTCGACAAGGGCTTAGGGAGGATTTGCGGTGTATGCTCTGCTTTAGGCTTAGAGCCTGCACTTAGGTGGGGTTTAGGGTTGGGTGGGGTTGGGTGTAGCGTTTTAAGTACAAGTTAAGGTTGCTCAAAACGGGGCAAGCGCTGCGTCATAAGGTTTACGGCTTGCTTGCGAAGGGCTTGCGCGTGAGCCCTGGCCGCCAGCACCACCCCACCATCCAGTGGCAGCTCCAACGGCCCCAACCCCTTTCCGCACACGCCAGCCCACCCCCCCCCCCCCACCCCTGTCAGACCATACCATTGGGGGGGGGGGGGGCTGGGAACGCCAGACGCCTGACCATATATGGGGGCGGGGACGAGGCGGCGGTTGTGTTGATGTTTAGTGTAAAGCGGGGTTGACAAGTCGGAGACTTGAGATCCCACTAGGTGTTTCAGTGCCACAGTCCGGAATACCGCAAAGCCGACCACTTTTTGTTGTGAGTGCTGAAAGCCGACCACTTCATAAAGCAAAGAGTGGTCTGGCGACAAAACGCCCGCGGGTCGCGGCAGAAAGGAACAAACAAAGAGTAAAAAGAGAGAGAGAAAGAGAGAGCCCGGCAGAAAGAAAGAGACTCAGAAGAGGGTCGCTCCCTCTTCCTTTACCCTCGCGACAGAGAGAGATTCACCTTACAATAGCACATTGGAGGGTTGGGCGGGCCAATGGCCTGAGGGTCGCACCGCGAGCCCTAAGCCCACAATGGTTCGCTCGTGAATGTCGGGGGACAGCCGAACAAACCTGCAAAGCGAGGCCCGGCGTTTGTTTCCTCTTAGTTAGTTGGCTTTTTGTCATTGCAAGGGCTCTGTGTCGCCCGGTCTCTCCTTAGCTTCCGCTCACATCAGAGCGAGTGCCCAGTGCGGGGGAGTACGACTCTCGCTCCTCTTGTCTGTGTGGAAGCAGAGAGGGGGAGAGGGGGAGAGGGAGAGTGAGTGATCGGGGATGTCAGTGCCTTGCGAGCTGTATCTTGTGCGAGCTGTCCCTGTAGCCACTGGTCCTTTGAGGTGCCGGCAAAGACGGCACTGGGTTGAGGCAGAGGCCGTTGCGGAAGCCGAGCAATACCTCGCCGAGGAGTCCGAGTTGGCCCGGCGCCAGGCCGACAAAACGCACAGCAGAAACTCTGCCGGTTTCTGGTTGTTTCTGCCTTTTGTTTGGCATCTGGGTACACAGCCCCAGAAGGCTTTGTCAATGATGCGTCATGTCTGGCGGAACTACGAGAAGCGTGCTTTCGCCAAGGATGAGCTCAGGCGAGAAATTTTCGGGTAAAGACTGCGAGAGCGTGAAAGGATTTGCATCCGGGAGACTCTCCGGGATTGACTGTTTCTATTCTTCACGTCGAGGCCGGTGTCTGGCACTGGCCAAGACAGCTGGGGGGGCATTGGCCAGACGCTGGTTGATGCCATGGACACGCTCTGGCTGATGGGGTTTCGGAAGGCCTCGGCAGCTTCATAACCCACGCCCTCGCATGCTGAGCTGCAGCATCAGACTTGAAAGGAATTCGACCGGGCAGCTGCCTGGGTGGAGAAATCATTGAGTGGCTCAAATGCAGGCGGTTTGAGTCTCGTGTCCTGGCCCCTTGTAACTTGCGAGGCTTTGCCCATGACCTGAACGTGAATCTCTTCGAAACCACTATTCGCCATTTGGGCGGGCTTCTTTCTGCCTTCGCGCCTCCAGACCGAAGCTTCGGAGAGCCGAGGGCCAAAGATCAAAGCCTCGGTCTTGAGTCGAGTCGAGGTTGAGTGGAAGGCCTGGGCTCTTGGCCAAAGCAGTGGATCTGGGCGACCGCTTGCCCGGACCTCACCTGCACCGCAATGTGTCCTGAACCCAAACCGCCCGAGCCCGATCCGTCCCCAGGATCCAAGCGTTTCCGAGCATCCCGGCAATCCCCAGTCCTGCGCCGCCTGCGCCTGCGAAAGGCGCCCGATCAGGGATCTGTGTGTTTTTCTCTCCAAGGTGTGTTGCGAGTTCAGGTGACACCACCACCGGATGGACAGACGACGTCAAGAAGCTGCTGCAACAGGTTGGTGTCCCGCAAAATACGTTGGATACAGTGCTTGGGACGCTCAGCTTCGCAACAGGTCTAGTTAATTACGACGACATGGTCACAGGTCAGGTCGCCAAAGTTGGCCAGTTGAGGGACCTCACATTTCCATCGCGTGTCCTGTTAATGTTCGACACTGCCGTCGTGTTGGCGTCATTCTATCGTCCCAAGCACGAAAAGACCCTGCAAGAATGGTGATCGATATGACACATCGCACTGGCACTGGCCTCTATGAAGTAGCAGGGTATCTACAGTTCGCGATTTCGATTGCTGCTTGAGGTCATTAGGTCATTGTCAGGCATGATCAATTCGGGGCTTAGTTTCAACTCAAGCGGGGCCGGCTGTCGTACTTGGAAAGATTCCGATAATGATTATTCGCAGCAGCCTAGACATGATACATGTCATTCGTCCTTCTCGAAAGTGTCGCAGACATCGGCCTCCAACTGAGAGATGCCGCAACCGCACGGCAAGCATCGATGTACCCTGTGGCTAAGGAAAGAGGTCAAAACTGCGCCAGCAAGCGCGGGTCTTAGTGCGCTGTGCGCTGTTCTTAATGAGAATTTCTGCAATGGCCACTGTAGGCTTGCCGTCGTCAGATGTGAACCTGAAAACGGGAGATCCTCAATTGCACCGAGACCACATGGGCAAGCTATGCAGCTACAAGTAGACAGTTGGAAAATTGAGTGCCCGTGCAGGAAACAAAAAACCTAGCTGGCTTCGTCTCCCTCGCTGAAGCGTATGTTCCGATGGCACTTCGGCTGCAGCCGATGGCGGAGCAGCCTCTGCGTAAGTGGAATCAGACCTGCCAAAGTTCTCCTTGCCTAGAAGTCTCCATCCGAGGAATGGAAGTATTTGACTGCATTGACTGGCAACTGCGACTCGCAGAAAACCTGGGTTCCAAGGGGCGAGCAGGGACAGAATCAGATGCAGCCGAGGTACTTACTCGCGAGCTCAGGATCAGGTGCTGCGCACTCTGAACGCTTCCCTGGACCTCCAGAACCGGGGTCTAGGCGCCATCTTGCTGTGCCTTGTCTGACTTCCCATTCAAAGTCACTGCTTGTGCTTTCGCTTGTTTATTGCACGCAGGGCTAAGAGCTAAGGAGATCTGATGGCAGCACTTTCGCATCTCCGGAGAACCGCATTTCCTTGGGAAGCCGCGGCGACTCTTTCTACGAGTACCTCTTGAAAGACAGCCTCTTTGCAGGCGAGCATGCGGAATCTTTGCTTTTAGCGGTCGCTTCCATATCATGTTGAAGAATTTGTCACTGTAGCCTGTTCTGATATAGATTATGGGGCCGGTAGCCGGTAGCCGAGGATCCGTTGGCAAGGACTTTGTGGAATTCCTTCAGGCTCGGCCCGCTGCAGGGCTATCAGGGCTCGCACGGACTCCTTCCGCGCCACGCTTGACCTGCAGACGCAAACTCCCGGAGCTTCTGGTGGAAGTTGACCCGCAGCCAGCAGAGCCTCGTCTCAAAGGCTCCCCGAAACCCCATTTGCCGAGTTCGCCTCTCGACCGAGGCGAGCCGAAGGAAGCGGAGGCGCAGCCCAAAGGAAGAGGCCGGCCTGCCATGCATGCCATGCATGCCATGCTAGACTCTGGCTCTGGAGCTGCCCTGTGAAGGCTTACAACAAGTCGGTTTTGGCAGCAAGTGATCACAGATCCCCACACTCAACCATGCGTGCAAGTGACTGTATGTGTGTAAATATGCATGTGCATGTGTGTGTGTATCTAGTAGAAGTATATACATGTGCGTATATGTGTATGAACATGTAAACAAACGGATAAATGAACAAACAGTATGTATATGCATGATAAGTCGAAATAAACATGAACACCGACATGTAGAAAAAAAAGTAAACGTGCAAAAGCAATGGATGAATGGGTGTGTGCGTGTACATATCAATGTGTTCATATACACACACGCCTACACTCCTGGAGCCAGTGTTTTTTTGCTCTAGTTGCCTTTATGTTTTTTTGTTCTCGTTGCGCTGAAGCCAGTGAGTGAGTGAACCCAGGTGCCCGCAACGACAGCAAAAAACTCGCGCCGCAGGGACGGAAACAAAAAAAAACGCGCCCGCGCAATGACAGCAAAAAAAAAACGCGCCCCCGCAACGACAGCAAAAAAAAGCGCGCCCCGCAACGACAGCCGTTTTTTTGTTGCTGTCGTCCCTGGGGGGCGCGTTTGCTCCCAGGGACGACAGCAAAAAGAAAAACCCGCCCCCCAGGGACGACAGCAAAAAAAACGCGCCGGCGCAACGCCAGCAAACAACAATCACGCCCCCGCAACGACAGCAAAAAACAAACGCGCCCCGAAACGACAGCAAAAAAGCAACGACAGCAAAAAAGAAAACACTCTTACCCTACACTCCTCTATATCTACAGGGCTATCTACAATCTACATGTACAAATTCCTTAAACCCCAAACTCTAAACCTCAAACCTTAGAGCTTAAACCTCAAACCCGAAACCCTTCTGGCATGCGTGGCCTTAGCTTGTGTTGTGGCTGTCTTTCAAGGTCGAGTCGAGTAAGCCCTTTAGCCCGACCACGCGCACCAAGAACCTCGTCTGGCTGTGTCCGAGTTGCGAGAGCGTAAACCATTCTGGCAGTGTCCGAGTTGCGAGAGCGTAAACCCACAAGGAGGGGAAAACAAAACGCAACGAAAAGGGAGAAAGCGCAGCCCCTGATGAAGCGTGCAGCTCGCATGCCAGGGCATCGGAGGGTCAGCAGGGTTCACCAACCGCGGCGAGCCCAATTCCGTTAGAGGGAACGAAATTTCACCGTGGGACCTTGGGGCTCATCCAGAGCTTCACACAGAACAGGGGGAGGGAGGGGGCTAAGAGATGGGGGAATCCGTATAGGAAGCTCTCCGCTTCGGCCGGGGCCAAGGCGAATTTGCATTTATTTCTATATGGTTCATTTATTTGTCTTCGTTACGCTTCTTTCTTATGCATTGCTTGTTCGTCTATATCACACACAGCATACACAGTGCAGCGCGCGCACGTACACGTCTGTGTTTCTCTGCAAGTGTGCCCTTGAGGTGCCTCGAGGCTTTGCAGGATCCCTAGGTGGATGGTACGAATCCTGGCGTGAGTGGCCGACACCATGGTTGCCTCTTGCCTTTCGAACATCTAAATTCCGGAATTCCGAGTTCGAGTGTCCCGTCTTGCCTGAATCTTGTCAGGTTTGTTAAGGAGCTGTCCGCCAGCCACACCATTCCGAAGATGGATCATTTGCACTTTGGCGACAGATTTATGGGTAGCCACTCGCTGTTCCTACTGGCTCAATCGGATCCGCTCGGTCGCGCTGAGGATCTGCTTCCTCCCAGGAGCCATTGCGCTTGAGGTGTTGCACGAGCAGAAGCGAAACGATCGCAAAAGTAAGGCACGGAGCCACTGCTGACTGGAATCTCGGCAAAAGGGAAAGATCCGTCAGGTTGACCTGCGACTGGCCCACAAGCTTGTCGAGACTTGCGTCCATACGCACTTCGGCGGCTGCAATGCTGGGGAAGGGAAGGAATGGGATGCATACTTTTCATCGAGGTACTGGCGCACCGCTTCCGACCTTGCACCGGAGATCACCCGGTTCAATGCCTTCGGCTTGGTGGACGACCTGGGATCGATGCACAACATCCTACGGCCAGAGACGCCGCTTAGACTTTAAGTGGAGAGATGATGCACTAGCAGGCCCAATTGGCAGAGTTAAGCTGTCAGGATAGAAAGCCTCTTCGTCCTGTGGCGGACTCGCGCTCAGAGCAAAGTTGCCAGCGCACGCTGTCAAGCAGCAGATTTCTGCAGGACCACGAAGAAGCAAATCTACAGAAATTGGGGTCAGCGAATGTTGTGCGCCTTCTATCGATCGAAAACACCGTGCCCCGCATAGTTTGAGCTGTGGCGTAGCATGAACTTGGCTTGCACTGTTCATTTGCCAGTCCAGGTTTGGCTTTGCCAGCTTGCACAACGTCAACCATCCGGTGAAGAAGCGCGATGACATGCCATCGTTCTTCGTAGCTGTGCCTTCGCGATAAATTCAACTGATCTGTTGTGTGCCTCTGCGAGGGTATGTAAGAGCCAGCAGCCGTTGCACAAGCCGCTTGCAAGACAGGGTTGAATAATCTGCCACGGGCGGCTTGCTGAGGAGACGCTCAAATACCTGTTCTTGAAACTTGGCTGCTGTGGTGCGTCCGCAGTGCTTCAAGTAAGTGGGGGCTTCCACACTTTCACGCTGTTACATCCAGCCAACAGGCTTTTTTCCGATGATGCTATCCTTCCTTTGGACCAGTTTGTCTTGGGAACGGAAGCTCACCCCGTGCCACTACTCCAAACATTGCGAGACTTGGATGAATAAAAGAAGCAGCTGGCCTTGTACTTGCGTCCTGGCACGGCAAAGGATCTTCTTGGCCGTGTGAACTACTCACACTTCCAAAGCAGCTTAGCTACGCATCATGTTTCCCCTAAGCATCCGAAGACCTCAAATGTGACCATGTTTGCTAAGACCTCAGAATCCAAGGCCTTTAGTGTAAGTGCTGGAAATACAAGGACTTGGACAATCATGTAAGTTGAATGAAATGCATGTCAATATATATGATGTATAAAATGTATTCAATCCAGGAAATGCATGTCATTCCCTGTATTTCTCAATATTCATATGTTGATATACAGGTCAAACAATCAATATATATGGTCCAAAAAATGTGTTAATAGGTTTGTTTGTTCTTTCCGAAATGCTTTAAAAATTATTCATATCCGATGCAGATTCGCTGAAAAGATCAGAAAGATCAGTAAATAAGTATGTAAAATGAATCAGTCGTAGAATACGTTTGCAAGTTCTTTCCCAAATGCTTTGAAAATTATTCATATCCGATGCAGATTCGCTGAAAGGATCAGAAAAATCAATCAATAAGTATGTAAAAAAATCAGTCCTAGAATAAGTTTCAAGGTTATTTCCCAAATGCTTTGGAAATTATTCATATCCGAAGCATATATATATATATATATATATATAAACGTCCAGCATTCTTTCGAACTTCTTTTCCTGGCTTTGCAAACCCGAAGGTAGGCCTTAGGCCGTGGGCACGGGTTTTATTCCCGGTGGGTGCCCCACAAATTCTGGTGAAGAAGACTTTGGCCAGCTCAAACCTCCACCTCAGGGAGAGTACAGTGTTCAGGTTCAGGGCTCAGGGTTTAGGACTGAAGGGTTCAGGCCATATATATATATATATATATATATATATTTATTTAGAGAGAGAGAGAGAGAGAGAGAGAGAGAGAGAGAGAGAGAGAGAAATAAGCTGTAGGGTTGCCGGGCCTGGGTCTGGTTCACGAGTGGCATGTCTTGGATGAGCCGATCCAGTTGAGACATGCTGGGCTCCGCCATTCTCTTGATGTCGTCATCTTGGATAAGGCTCCGAGGGAAATATATGTATATATCTATATATACATAAATTAATTCAGCTAAAGGCGAAAGCTCCTGCTATGTACATATATAGATAGGCTTCACAAGAACCATTATTATTATAATTATAATCAGTTCATATGGCATATGTATTTACATATTTATATATCTGTCTGTTTCTTATATATTTATTATATATATATAATATGCAGCCTAGCGACAGAGGAACGGGACCATATTCCCGAAGCACAACAGCAGCTCGTCGAGGGCCATGACGATGTCGCATAGCTTGTGCTCCAGTGCATAACCCATAGCGGATTCGAGGAAGCGGTCGCATGTCCTCAGATGCCGAGAAACAAAAATCTTGTCATCTTAAGCTCCACCCGCAAGAAATACAAAACGGAGAATATGTCAGAAAGTTGAATAGTTATTGATAAAGGTTTGATTTCACGTGACAAGGTCACAAACAATATATATATATATATATATATTTATGTATAATATGTATAATTAATAATAATAATACTATATATATATGTATAAATATAAATATATATATTTATTTATTTATATTTATTTATTTATATATTCTATATATATATATATATTGATATTAATGTATATAAAAAGAATCATATATTATACTCATATATCTATATATATTATATGAGTGCTTGGCCAGATTCTCTGGGTTCGACATGCCCGTGAGGGCTACCACCGTTGGGCAAGTCACTATCGTCAGGAAGCGATTCACCCACTTGCCGTGAGGCGTATAGTTGCCCATGGCAAGCCAATGCAACCGGTCCTTCTCTGCAATTGGCAGTCCGTGTACCAACACTGTCATCCTGTCCCAGCCATGCCGTTCCAGGTCGTTGACCGCCTTTGCAGCTCTCGATCCCCAGCCGAGCAGCTCCATCTTCACCATCCATGTTGGCCCTGCCATGCCGAGAGGTAAGAGTGGGAAAAACCTCAAGGCACCAAAATTTAACTGCTTGAGCATCATATATTTGCATGTAAGCTTCGCTCAGACTGGCAGGCATGTGACACTTCAGTCCTGCTGCAGCCCCCCGTGAGTGAACTGACTGCATCCGAGGGGTTTGGGGTTTAGGCTTTAGGATTCACGGGCAGGGGTTTAAGGTTTAGGGTTCAGGGCTTCAGGGTTTCGGGTTCAGGGGTTTGGGGTTTTGGGTTTAGGGTTTACATCTATATATATATATATATATATATATATATATATATATAGATACATATATGTATATACATATACATATATATATATATATATATTTCAGGAAGTCTCGGATGCAGGAGAACTGTTTTCACGAGCTCGCTATCTGCTCCGGAGCTCTCGTTCATGCACGTGCAAGCATGGCCCGCCAGTGCCGTCAGTGACCTTGCATCAAAGCCTGCAGTCGCAGCAACTGCTTGGAGAGGATCTGATTCTCGACCGTGCTTCGATGCGAGGATTTGGCAATATCCACAGCCACTCCAAGAGCCCCCTCTTCAGCATACGTATGGAAAAACCTGAAGTTATAACCTCAGCTGCATATTAGCTGGACTGAAAATACATATAACAAACTCATATATATATATATATATATGGTAGTCGCTGGATATATATATATATATATATATGTATATGTATCTACCAGCTACAAGATATGTTATCACTTATAAACAGTCGCACCATGAAAGGAATTGTCCTTGAGTAATATATATATATATATATATATATCATCCTCGTAGCGGGTCTCGGCAAGCTCCATGACCATGTGCTGCAGCATGTGGTGCTTCGGTCTCAGGCTCCACATAAACCTTGGGCAGGGTAGAAGTACTGAAATTTTTAAATAGATGGATACCGCCAGCTTCAAAAATGTGGGGAGAGAGACAGAGAGAAAGAGAGAGATAAATATATAAAAAGACACAGACCCAAAACTCTTTTCACATAGAATTAGACAGAATATTAATCAGCTGATACAGGTGCGGGTTGGTGGAGGTGGCTGCACAGTGCATATAGGTCTCCAGGAATCGAAGGCCCAGGCTGCGGATTTCCACGGCTTCCTCGGCATCGATGGGGATTCATATATTATGTGTCATGCACTTAATAATATATATATATATATATATATATATATATATTTGTTAAGATGCAACTTTTGTATATTAACACACATATATATATGTATACATATGTTATACATTACATACTATTTAGCATATGTTGTTTATTATATATTATTATTACTTTCATAATTATTATTACTATTATTATCATATAATTATTATATCATTATCACTATCATATATATATATGCATATATCTATAAAGGTATAGTTTAAATAATATATAGATATATGTATATATATATATATATGTAATATATCTTTTATAATATATACAACGAGTATACATATATATATATATATATATATCATATTCCAAAGTTTGACAGAGAAGCCTCCTCCGTCAAGAACCTGTTGCCTTGCTCCACACGGTTGTACAGCTCCGACAGGAGATGCACACAGAGACTCGCTCTCAGGAGCTCCAGATCAGCTGGTGCTTTCTTGCTTTCCTCTGAGAGGATAGCAGCCAGAAACGACGTGATGATTCTGCTGTGGTGGGCCTTGGACTGGTAAAATATCTGCTCCAGGTCGGATTTCAAGAGAAAGTGTCTGAATCGCGGCATAGCAACCCTGACCTTCACTTGCTTTTGCCAGCCTTTGAACCTAAGGAATAATGCCCGGAGAGCCTGATCTTTGGTCAGGCCGGCACCACACACTTCCCGGTCCAGCAAGACTTTCATTGCCGAACCATTAGCAAAAAGACCAACTCCAAGATGGGCCGTGTGCATCCAGCACTGCTTAAGAATGTGCATGCTAAAACCTGGCATCCAGATAAGCGGCGAACTTTCCGGGGAGTCCAGCACCGGAAGCACATTGGCCAGAAAGTCCACATTGCTCCGCCTGGTTCGCATCCAGGCAGCGGAAAGGCCAAATTGGCCGTAACTCATCGGGCCACTTGCCAGGGTGCACTTGCACTTGTAGCACACTTCCTTGCTCGTCGGTGTTGCTTTCAGACCCAGGCAATCAACGAAAAACTTCCAGTCGCCTCGGAGTTCTGTCACCATAGGACTGCCTGGCATGCGAACAAGTTTCTGCAGGCTCTCCACCACGAACCTCCACAGCGGCTGCTCGGTGGATCGGCCAGCACTGAACCGATCTTGCAAGAAAAACAGAGGGAACCTCGAGTAGGCAAGACCATTGTGCTCGGACATCACGAATCCCATGAAAGCTCCAAGAAGATGATCGCCGTATTTAGTAAACTGGGCAGAGTCCCCATACAAAAACAACGGCTCGCTCTCCACAGCTTTTCCAGGATGTGGTGTGTCCAATTTGGCCCAGTATCGCTTGGTGGAATCTGCTTTGGGGGCTAGCCCTTGCTCGTGGAGCCACGGAACGAGTTCGTGCGGGGCGACACAGGGAATTTGCCTCATTGCACCAAATAATAAATATCAACTTATATTGTGTGTTAGGCATACACCTTTGCAATCTATATACATATATATATATATATATAATATCACACACATCTATCTATATACATATATATATTTATGTAGTTGTCTAGCTATATATACTTATATATATATAGATAATATAAGACCCAAGATAAAGGATTCCGTGTGACCCTGCACTCAAGGTGCAGCATCGTAGGCTTGCCCTGGTCGTCGAGGCCCGGTGCTTCCACCCAGTGCACAGGCACCTCGTCGTTGATTTTCTTGTTTAAATAAAACATATGTGTAATTAATGTGTAGAAACGGATAGCAGAATGTTTGCCATCATAGCTGTATTAATTGTATGTGTATCTACTTATATGTGTAGTCATTATATATATATATATATGTATGTATATATATGTGTGTATATATGTATATATATATATATTGGATGCAAGCCAGGTGTCGGGCGACTTGAACTGTCGAAAGGCATCCCTGTGGATGTTCCCCGCATGCTTGCCCTGAGCTCCAGTAG